TCCATATTGAAAACTGTCCAAATTAAATCCCAAATTAGACAGTTCTGAGAAATTAAAGGATAACAGCGGTGCTGACATTACTGGATTAACTGACTGCTATATAATTAAGCAAATAATAGTGAGTGAGCAAGGCTCTTGTTTCAGAAATCACTGGAGAACAAATAAAAGAACATGCCAACACAAACTGACGCCACAGTTCTAAGTGTGGTTTGGGCAAAATGTCACAAAAAAAGTGTGGTAAAAGTCTTCCATTGATCAGCAGTAAAGCCCCCGTAGCTGTTCAAAATCTTTCTTGGCATTGTACCAACATCTGATGGTGCTTTTAATTTATCCAACTTTTCTTGGATGTTTATTAAATCATTTTTCCTGATCAAGGGATTTTCCCCATCTAACCAAATGTTTTTCATTACATGCTTAGCTGTGCCAGTAACCAGGTTATGCATACGGTCTCTAATGTGAAATCGCACACAATCAAAGTAAGGAAGTGACATTAGTTCACTGAATCATGTTCCAAACTGCTGTTCCAGTGATGCCCCATCTCCAGCACTGCTTTGATTCAACATCTCTTGGGCTTCCTCCCTGTGCTTACGATTGGTCCTTGGAGGAGACGGTAAATCAAATCCCGAAAAATCAATTCTAGTCATCACTGTGCCGGGGAAATATTTTGTGCACTTTGAGCAACCTTTGCAAGATGCATGTCCCGTAAAACCACATACTTTTGTGGCAGCTGGTACATCACATCCAACACAGAGAAGAGCAGCATGATAAACTTCACCAGCCAAAGCTCCAAGGGCTCTCACTGTGATTCCATCGTTCCACAACAGATTTAACTTAGCATCAAGGGGTTGAAGATACAAATTGATAGTGAGCTTTGACTCATGAGGACCAGGGATTATGCCTGCTAATGTTACATTTTCCAGCTTGAACCTTTCAGATCTTGGAAGGTTCATTAGGACCATGTAGAGAGCGCTAACACTGTACGAAGAATGCTTAAATGGTTGGAACCAATCCACATTGAACATAAAAGCATAGTTCCTAGAAACTGCTAAAAAGGCTTTGCCATTCACATACTGCCATTCTTTCCATACACGTCCATCCAAAACATCTGCAAGGAATCCATGAGGTACATCTCTTTCTCTCCACAATTCACACTTCAGTGCAAAGCCAGGCCGCTGAAGAACGTGTCGCAGAGTGTCTCTAACACTCTGATAGCAGTAGACTTTGAAGGGATAAAGTCTTGTCTGGCCACTTTTCAATGTGACTTCTCACAGAAGTGGCTCATGACACTGTGTCCTGCAAAAATGCTGCCGGTGTTTTGAAATTCTATAAAAGTGCATTTCCTTGAAACTCGCTTTCTATTTTGTAACTCATAACAGTCATCAAAGTTGTATAAAGTGTCACACTTTGGACAAACAACATATTTAATGAATTTATCCTGATCAATTCGAAGTTTTTTCTTTAATAAGTGCAATGATTTTGGGAATAATGCAGCAAAACTCCCAATACCGGGAACAACTGTGGCCAGAGAGTCAAAAACAGCTCCTAAAAATTCAAGAAGAATTTCCATGGCATTATCTGAAATAACACAGAAGGAAGACCACAAACACAGAACCAGTAAGATCCAACAAATGGCCGTTTTTATGCTAGAGACGTTAAAGTCATCTAGACGCTTTTAACGTCTGAGACGTTAAAGTCGTCTAGTGTAAAAACGGGATGAACAAAAGTAGACGACCTTATTTAAAAAAGTAGATTTTTCTGAAAAAAGGACTAGGCTCCCCTCTCGGAAGACACTGGACGCGAGTTAAAGTGGCGCCAAAAATGAACTTCAAGCCCGCGAAATGCGAACAAATTGTTCAAACTCCAACATGGCGGCGGCGTTACAACTTTTAAAGTCTATTTCTCGCCGTCGCCAAGAAAGGCATGACTTACAAATGCAGATGTTGGTAACACAGAAAAGTGAATCGAGAAAGCGGAAACTTCAGATGATGGAAGATGATGAAATAGACACAGCCAAAGCAATAGGTTTGTGTGCCGTCCGAGCCAAACGACCCAGAAAGGAAAGAGACCCAGACGAACAGAGGAGTTCCTCGTGGTGGAGACATGGCTACCGAAATTGGGACGACACTGCGTTCAAAAAACGTTTGAGGATAAATCGAGCAACGTTTCAGTACATTCTTGGCGAGATAGAAGCCCAGCTAGTCAAAGAGCCAACTCGTTTCAAACCTGAGCCGATACCTCCAGACACGCAGCTTGCCATTTGTTTGTATAGATTAGCCCATGGATGCACCTACAGCACAGTAGGAGACCTGTTTGGTGTTGCTGAATCAACCATGAAGTGTCATTTTTAACCAAGTATGTAAGATACTTGTTTCAACTTTGTACGACAGGTTTGTGTACCTACCCAGAAATAGTGCGAATGGAAGCAAGAGCTTGAAAGCTTTCTTGAAAACTGGGAATTTCCTGCGTAGGAGCCTGGGATGGTTTCCATGTTTACGTCAGCACGAAGTTGAAAAATTATTTTAGCTTCAAGAAGAGATATTCGGTATCCAGCTTGGGATTCATTGCGTCTAACAAGAGGTTTCTGTGGGCAGCTGTGGGGGCTCCTGGCTCTACCCACGACTCAAGGCTCCTGAAAAGTTGCGGCCTCTTTGCTGACATTCAACAGGGACGGATTCTCCCAAGTTCTGTACTAAGAACAAGGGAGTATGGAGACATACCATTCACAACGGTTGGTGATTCAGCATTCCCACGCTACACGTGGCTAATGAAGCCGTACAGTGAAAGTACAAGAGACCCAAGGAAGCGCTACTTAAACAAGAGGCTTTGCTCTGCTAGAGTTGTGTCAGAGCATGCTTATGGCATGTTAAAAGGAAGATGGAGGATCCTTTACAAGAAGACAGAGTGTAAACTAAAGAACATCAGGCAAGTCATCATGGCCTGCATTGCCTTGCACAATATATGCATTTCAAGGGATGACCCATGCAGTCCCAGGTGGAGGCTGGAAATTGAAAATCTGCACCTCATTAGGAGGAGCGGCAATGGTGAGCAAGACTATGAGGCCGATCAGGTCAGGACAAGAATCACCAACTGGCTCTGGGATATCCACCAGCAAAGGCAATCAATGGAGTAGAAGAAGAAATCAACAGAAAAATTGAGGCCTGTGTTTATATGTTTTGTACCCCAGACCACACCCAACTTACCCCCAAGCAACCAGCAGGGGGGACTAGAATGTGGAACTAGACTATGAGCAATCAAAGTGAGGACTACATAACTGTAATATCAAAATGTCTTTACTTAGTCTACTGAAGTACAAAATCCTTGGACAAAGTAAGGATTTCACTAAGCCTGTAAAACAAAATTCATTTCTTAAACTTCTTACAGTTGACTAAAGTAAACATAGATATTGGGAATCTCAACCATGTTTATTAAAGTACATACTAGCTGTATAGCTAGTCCTTTATATTAACAAACATTTAAACTCCATGGCCTAATATATCTGTTTTAAACAACAACAGTCTGGTAGAAACTTAGTTAACTACAATACACGTAAAACGTTAACTAACTGTAATGTTTTAAAAACGTCTGGGCTATAAGATTGGAAAGGATGGCAAGCCTCCCACACAGGCACTGTCTTAGAGCTTTGTCTCATGTTCCTCATGAATACATGATGAAGCCCTAAGAGTATCCGTGTGGGAGGTTACCGTTAGATGATAGCCTTAATAAAATAAGTAAGTGGCATGTCAATAAGCTTCTTTGTTAATCTACTGAAAAAACAATAGTAGTTATGCAAATGTTTAAGGACCTTGTACAAAAAGGTTTGCAGGCATACACTGTAGTTGAGCTTTATTTCAGAAGATTTAAGGATTTTTGAAGTGTTGAAATTAAAGATAATAGTCATTTATATTCTCTGGTATTTTATCAAGGATGCAGTGCATGTCAGTAGTTTTGTTGGTTGGGGATCAAGGGTGGTAGGCACTCTCAAGCTTGACACAGCACATAGGGCTACTATAAATACCCCCATTGCTATGATGTCATCCTACTTTTTCCTTAACTTCATCACTTAAAACAATTATTTCCCTTCTCTCTTAACGCCTGATCAAATCGCTTAACCACCTTTCCTGAAATTGTCAGACATTGCTCTAAATATCTTGAAAAGCTGTCAATAACTTTTACTTTTGCTTTAAAAACAAACTTGTGTTCAATCAATTATCACTTGTGGGAGTTGAAAAAGTATGTATTAGGAGAATGTCAACGTTAGTATAATAATAATAATTATTATACTTATGTTGACAATCTCCTACTACATACTTTTTCAACTCCCAGAAGAAAGAAAGAAAAACCGTATAAACAACCTTCAATAAAAAATGGACGCATTCAGTTGAAAACCACAGAACTGGATTATTTCGAGCATATAGATAGAGGTTACTGACACTAGTAGACATTTTAACATAATAGTGAAGGAAACCCCAGGGTTGGCCAAAAAATAGAACCCTAAATATCTTAGAAACTTCTTAATATCCCTCAAAATAACCAGAGATTTGAGATCTGGACTAACCTCTTTCAATATCTTTTGCCCCCTTTCTGATAAAGTTCACCTTATTCAACACTTCAGATAGTTTGAATCTGGAGTGGGGGACTGGACCCTCTCTATACCTTCATTCTATACCATGTGGTCCCCACACACACACACCACACCTACCAACCCCATTTTGCTTAATATCTTTTCTAATCACCCTCTTCCTGTAAAATGCAATTAGGCAAATGCAAAATATCAACTTGTTCCTAGCATGATGCCAAATGTACTACAGGCATGTGGCAAAACCCTAAAACAACAATCACAATCTAGCCTGTAAATACAGACAGATTTCAGGTTAAAGCTTCATGCTGGTTTAAAAACAAAACAATGATAAAACAACAGCCTGAAATATTTCCTTGTTGACAGGCTAATCAAGCAAAATTTGCCGAATTTCACCTATTAAAAGGTTTTTCGAGAAGGCACTCTACCGATTATAACTATCTAAATTTGTGTAGTGTGGTTGTTGACTCTCAGCTCCAGAATAGGCACTTGGAAATGCTGGTTCATGCATCACCCAAGCATTTTGGTATGGTTGTACAGGCTGCTGAAAACGGGCCATCATCTCCATCATACACAGTTCATGTTGTCGGTTGAGTTCTGCCTGTTTCTCCTGATATTTAAGAAATGCTTCTTCCCTTCTCTGATCTGCCTCAAGCCAAGTTTGGATTCGTTTATCTTGTGCTTTTTGAAGATTCTCAAAAGTTGTAGATAATTGGCTGATGGCATCTTTCTGTGAAGTTATTTTACGTTTTCTGGGCCGAACAGAGACACTTGATTTCTGTACCTCCTTCTTGTCCTTCTTGGATGCCCTCTTTAAAACAACTTCATCTTCCTCAATGGAAGTCCCGTCATGGTCTGCATCAGTTGGTTGACATTCGACTCTGATCAAAAAATTGAAAAACACCTTTTTTTAGGTTCAGGAAAACTGAAATTTTAACTGTATTTTGAGTCAGGTTTCAATACAGTGAGGCAAATTAAGTTGAAGCACTGACATATAAACATTCAGCATACTTTTATATCAAAATCACGTACACTGGCATGACCATGTACAGGTGTGTATCCGGTACAGTGTGTTGTAGGCCTGTTTCTGACTGACCCTGCATTGGTTAAACGTGTGTGTGTTAAATTATTCCTTTAAAATTCTGAGAAAATATGAAACCATTATATTCTAATTTACCTGTTAAATTCTTCGTCACTCTCATCCACTGTCAAGTGTTCAGAACTTGCTTCTGCTGAGGAGGAACTTGAATTTAACACCTGCTTCTTCTCACGTGGCATCATAGCAGAAGCACTCTTCGCCATGGTTACTTCAGTTTTGTCTTCCTTGTAATTGTCACTGTATTCATCATCTTCACTGCTACAGGTACCATCACTTTCTATGTCTGCTGCCTTAGTGGCAACCTTTAACTCTGTTTGCGTTTCAGACAAAATGGGGTTCATTATGTTAAACCATTCAGGTTCATCTATTGCTGATTTACCACTGCTACACTTTGCCCTGTCGGTGTATTTTCTCCACTGCTCTTTCAGCCATTTATATTTTGCTCGTAGCTTAACAACTGATGTATCGATATCCTTTGCTTTTCCTTTCTTAGAAATGGTTGTTGTCTTTGCTTGTAAACGAGCATCTAACTCTTTCTTCATGGCTTCAAAAATATGAACATTAGCTGACTTTTTGAGTGCAAGAGTCTCCAAAGTTAATGCAAATTCAGTTCGGTCGTCTGCAAGAACAGATGCAAACTCCTTAAGTTCATCCTCACTCCACTTTCTACCACGAGACTCCTTCATGCTCTTCTTGGCCGCCATGTTGTTTTGCACTCATCCCAGTCGTCTCTGGACGAGTCGAGCATAAGTGCGTCCTAGTTCACGACGTCCCGTCTTTATACCAGACGACTTTAACGTCTGAGACGTTAAAGTCGTCTGTTAAGTGCGTCGTTCGGACGCACTTAACAGAAGACGTTTAAGTCGTCTGCCTTATTTACCGTTTTTATACTAGACGTTAAAGTCGTCTTAAGACGACTTTAACGTCTTAGACGACTTTAACGTCTCTATCATAAAAACGGCCAATGATGCAGTTAAAACTGTCTTGTAACCACTGAGCGGGATTGACATAGACTGAAGGATACTCTTCAGCAATAATTGGGAAATTTCCATCAATATCTTCATCAGCCAAGTTCCAAGCTTGATGAGTCAGTTCAGGTCCCACTCGCTCATGGTAAAGCATGTCAGCATCACTTTCAGGTGACAAAATATCATGCGCTAGCACTGCATCCTCCTCTTCAAAGTCTTAAAAATTTGTGCCTTATGGCCCCGTAAATTAGAATTATTTATTTTGATACTATATAATACATTTATGTATCCAGAATCCTGCACTTCATAATAAGGGATTTGGCACAAAGAATCTGGAATCTCATGTCATACAATTGGAATCCTGAATCCAAGCTCCAATGACAAAGAAACAAATCCAGTGCCTAGATTTGGAATCCAGGATACAAGACTGTCTTAGGGTAAAATATACGTAAAACGACAAAATGGTTAGATAAATTACATTTAATTGCTAATATGCACAGGAACTTTGTCCACCACCTTTTTGTACCTTGAGATGTTGCTTCGATTCCCTGATCGTCAGCCTCGTGCCCCATATTTCTGTCAACGTTAACATCTTTGAAATATAGATCAGTGTGAAGCCTCTGAGTTCTTAATGTTACATATTCCTCACATTGCTCGCAAAATTTTCTTTTGGATGCCATGTTAAATCAATTTTTTTTATTTACTATCTTTTTTCGCTCACACTTGAAATTCCAAGAACACCTGTATCAACCAAAAGAGATAAAAGCTACGTGTAGGCCTGCAAAAATTTTCAGAGGCATTTCTGTAACATCATGAGGTCATAAGGGCACTGTGAACTCATTGTTATAAATTACAGCATTAGTAACCCTTATTTGCATGCCAAAACCAAGGGAAATAGTGATCCTTTTCCAACTGACTGCCCCTACTGTCTACTGAGAGATAAAGAAATCCATAGGGTCAGAATTTCAAGGGCCATTTCTGAAGGGAGAAATATGTTAGAACTTTGATTCTCTGTTTTCTTTGGGGTAATAAAAATTTAAATCTTTGAAAGGGTAAAATTCAAATGCCCTCAATACCAGAGGGTGGGAGTTAAAGTAACCCGAGATAAGACCCAATTTTAGCGGTTCCCATACATTCTCTATTTTCACTTTGCCTTGCCCGCCGTAATGTTATTTTCAAAGCGAAATGAAAATAGAGCCTGATCTCAGGTTAGGGTTAAAGAAATGACCCAGTTGGTGATTCTTCAATACATGTACTGGTACCTTCTTTGACATGTAAAAATAAGGTGAATTTTAGGGTAATTAAAAACTATTTTATAGTTAAACTGAATATGGATAGCCAGGTACAATTACCTAGTTCTTGCCCTATTTTGAAGTGTTTTGTTATTCTTTTGTTGAC